TGAGGCTAGTCCTTGCAGAGTATACAACTATCAGTTGTATACAGTTATTATCTAGATTGGTTAAACTACAAAGCAAATCAGGAAGAAGTTTAATGCTACACGCTAGCAGGCTTTTTTAACCCACATCCCTTATTTTATCCAAACTGTCATTATGATAAAGACGTTTCATCATTTTGCTAGACTTTTGTGTAACACAAATTCAGCAAACACGTTATTTCAGCTAACAGGAATGCTAACAGCATGATTTCAGACAAGCACCGCCAGTTCTGGTATCCAGAGCCTGAGGCAGTTTGTTGCCAGGGGATTGATAAGGCGTTCTGACATAGAAAGACTCAAAGAAACACATTTACACACACTTTTAAAACAATGAGAAGAAAATAATATTTCATTAGAATAATACATTTTAATGTTCTACCACAAATAATGTTGTTCAATGAAAAAAAATCCTTGTGGGATGGGTTGTTTTTGGCAAATGCAATTGGATCTGCACGCCAACTTCCCTCCTTTAGTTAGTTTGGATTATTATGGATAAGGAAACATTGTTGAGGAAACATGCCAATCTCCTGCCCTTAAGACAGGTGTAATTTTCAGTGATTTACAATATTTTAATGAAAAGTTGTAGGTCATGGTTACATGTATTCCTGAACCTTTAAGTCATGTTTTGAATTTAAGATAATTTAGCAGTTTTTCCCTAATGAATAAATCTGTTAACTGATACAGTATGCGAGGATTGGCAAACTCCAAAAAAAAACCACCATAAAAATGGTCCATATGATTGTGCATTAAACTGTAATTTTTCTAAACCCATTTGATAGCTTTGTGCTAGAAACAGACCAAAATTTGAACCTAAATTTAAGTCGGTATCTTACACGAAGCTATTGTGTATCTCCAGAAGTCTTGTAATATAGTGCAGAAATCATTTGGACTACATTTTGCATTGTTATATGGTGCTCTTTGTTCTTTTTGGAGCTTCAAAGCCTTTGATCACTGCACGTTTTCACTGTATACTTTATGCCCAGCAGACTTCAAACTGTTCGATGGCACCAAAACCCACTTGTTTTGACCCCCAGCAGGGCTTGTGGTAACCATCCAGATGTGTTTTTTTCATTGAATTGAACGTAATTGAGAGCAGAAAGAGCGAAATAAACAATGTTAACAACATGACTGGACAAGTCTCAAAAATGTTCCTATTCCTGGACTCAACTGAACTAGATAATCACCTAAATGTTTTTTTTTTTTAAGAAATAAGGACTCCATTGGATAAAAAAGGTTCTACCAGGCTGAAAGATAGTTTTGCTTACATACTTATGTTGTGTACTTGTGTTAGTGGTTATGAGTGTATGTTTATTCAGATGAGAAGAGAACTACATACTGTAGATGATATCCAAGGCCCTTTCTATTCTATTCTATTCTATTCTATTCTATTCTAATAGTGAACCAATAGCTGAGAGCTTGTGCTGAAGATGCAAAACAAGATTGAACTCTGGGGAATCTGTTTGTTGTGTAAAACTCACTTATAAAGACAGGCATTAAAAATAAATAACATTCATAAATTAGGTTGGATCCCTAAATGACTGAATTTAGCACTTGGATCAGATGATTTTTTTTTTACTGGACACATTCAATATATTCAGAGGAAGGAACTCTACTCCAAAAGAGTCCAGGACCAATTAAAGCAGGTTTGATGGAGCTTCTAAAGAGATTATCTACCTTAGTCTCTCTCCTTCTCTAACTTATTGGAGCATGAACTGCCTTGCTTCACCTGCTAAAGTCATTAATGACCTGTAGATTAGTTCCACATGTAAAAATGCTCTGGTGCACGATGTCAGGTCCCATAAAAGCAGAACGCTGGGCAAGAAACCGTGTGAGAAAGTGATGTAATATTTAAAGGCTTTGGGTTACAGTGCATTTGAAAGCATGAAGGTTATGACCCATTTTAAACGAATAAAACATTGTATGAGAAGAAATATTTCACAGATGGTCACAAGCAAGTGTTTACATGCATGTGTACATTTATATGCAATAATAAGAAACGGTTGGTCACTTTACATTCATTTAGGCTCCTAGTGGTTTATAAAGACCTACCCAAAAATAAATCATTTGCACCAGGTCATCAGCTATAGCATTATGGGCTGGACCTTGAATAGTTGCATACTGTATGCACTTGATAGTCATGGTTGGATGGTGGGTCCAACTATGCACGCTCATGCAAGCCCCCTCTGTGCAAACACACACACACACACACACACACACACACACACAGGACCAGCTCCAGCAAGATGAGTCATGGCGCAGTGTGCGGGTGTCTAATGTGGAGTCAGCGCGACTGTACCGGGAACTTAGTTTAGAGGCTGAAACCACAGCCACCCCAAACTCCTTTGGATCCCCCCTAAACACTCCTAAAATGTGACACACATTCTGAAATTGTTTGGCTATTGAAGAGTGGCCTCAAATCAACTAATCTAGTGTTTTCACAGACAGAATCTTCTTCCACTGCTCCACTGAGAGACACTATGAGAGAGAATGGCATTGAATTACTTTAAATATTCTCTAATGCGCATGTTTGTTTGTAAGTGTGTGTATATAGCATGTTGAATATCAAAGGTACTTTCTTAGTATAAAAGGTCACCGGTTCATCAAACAGAAAACGAAGAACCAGACAAAAACACAGTTTATCATGAAGTTTTCGTACATGCTGACATTTATTTCAGACAAATGACTTTTGGAGAGTTGATTCAGACTTCCTCTTGCTGATGTGGCCAGTAGGCCAACATCCAAGTAACTCCATGAAACCATTAGATGTTTCTCTCTTTTTTTTTGTTTTGTTTTGTCAGACCAGATCGACACTATAGCACTGATGTCCTCAGTTAACATTACAGAAATAACATCACTGGCATCAACTCATACAACTGTGACTTTACAATAAGGATAAATTAGGTAATATTATTTAACGCATTACATATCATGATCTAACCGTAAACAACAGTTTTAAAGCAATTTATTATTATAGGGTAATTTTAAATTATAAATATACTATATACTGTTAATTTAACTTGAAATGGTAGAAAAAGTGTAAAAAATATTGCTCAATTTTAGTTAATAAATGCATTAACTAATGTTAACAAATTGAGCCTTATAGTGCATTGTTACCTAATGTGTTATTTTGCTATTCTGCTCAAAAGATTAAACCATTTTAATACTCAACTTGATGCTATCAATGGTATTTCTGTGTGGTTTGGCATGTTGCAGTTTAGAAAATGTGGTCTTGCTTTTTTAAAAAACAGATATTTATAAACATTTTCTCCTTTAGCCTGCAGAAGTAATCCGCAAGAGGCAGCCACATTATCTCAAAATGAACAATAGAAAGTCTATGGACTACTTAATCTACATAATCTGACTACCTTAGAAAATTTAAAACAAAAATGGGAAAAAGAAATGGAGGATCAAATATCAGATGATGTTTGGCAGGAAGCAATTTGGAGAATACATTCATCTTCTATTAGTCTTAGACAGACAATTGTTCAGTTTAAAATTGTACACCGTCTTCATTGGTCTAAGGACAGACTGGCAAAGATTAAAAGTGATGTGGACTCATTTCAATATACAGATGGTGTTTCCTGCTTTACATTTCTGCCTGCCGCACCTCCTCCAGTGCACCTTTTGGGTCAGCTGCAGGGTCATTAGCTGGTGCCACCGTTCACGGATTTTTCGCCCCCTATCCAGTACGTCTCCTGGTGGAGGGGCAGTGGCTTATTGGGACGTCTCCCCGCCACCCCCTGCAGCTGCCCTCACTGGGGTACCGAGCCCCAATTCCTGTCCCTCCTCCTTAGCCACAACCAGTAGCTTGCCTTCTCTGCCTCCTCCGCCAGCTCCTTGATGGCTCTCCTCAGGCTTACCCCAGTTGTCCCAGCAGCTCGAAGAAACTGGATTGCGGACTTTCCCACGAAGCCCCTGCATCCAACTTCTACGGGATGGATGGTCGCGGTCCATCCCCCGTCTCTGCACTCCGCCGCCATATCAGAGTACTTGAGCCGCTTGAACTCGTACGCCGCTGGTATTCCCTCTTCCCATGGCACAGTCAGCTCAATAATGAGGGCCTTCTTGGCCACTGTGTCCCACACCACAGCATCTGGCCTTAATGTTGTCTGAGTGATCTCTGTTGGGAAGATAAGCTGGGTGCCCAGGTCAACACGCATCTTCCATCCCTTTCCAGGACTGAGCAGACATTTTGTCCTTCCCGCCACTGTCTTCTGCCCACCTTCTCCTGGTCTGAGGAACGGGATGTTTGGCCAAATGGGATCTGAAGAGCTATTTGCCCGGACTCTACATCTTTCCAACTGCTCTGCCAACTTCCTCAGCACCTGATTATGCCGCCATCTAAAGCGGCTCTGCGTCAATGCAACGTTACACCCCGACAAGATATGTCGAAGGCCTGCATTGGCTTCATTGCACAGGGGGCACTTGTCCTCACTTCCGAAACACTGGGAGAGATTTTGGGGACAAGGGAGGGTGTCATACACTGCCCTCACAAGGAAGCTGAGCCGCAACTGCGGGGTTCGCCAGATATCTGCTCAGGTTATGACCCTGTTAGTACTATCCTCCCAGCGGGTCCATGCTCCTTGTTTGCCCTGGGAAACAGCCTTGATGAGGTAACGGTCCTGTTCCACTCGTGAGACCTCTTCCACCACCATGGACTTCCTCTGCTCCCTTGCGGCTTTGGACCAGAACTGGACTGGCTCTCCCCAGCCCAACCCTGCTCGGCTGTGTTGGACTCTTCCCATGACCTCCTTGTGTTGTAGCCTGTTAATGGCTTGATCGACCGCCTGCTGGGCCCTCCATCTGCGCCCAGTGCAGATGGTCACCCCTGCGCTCTTCACTGCTTCGTCCCTGGATTCCCTTAGCTCAAATACAAGACGGGTCTTCTCCTGCTTGTATCCGAGGTAAATGGACTTCAAAGGAAGCTGAAGAGCATTCTTGCCGAAGAGGCCTGTGTCGGAGAATCAGTGCGGGAGGCCCAACCACTTCCTGATGTAGGTGTTGGAGATGGTGTCCATCCTGCTAGCCAGGGATGACGGTATTTCGGACACCTTCAGAGGCCACATCACACGCTGGAAAAGTGTGAATTGGTAACACCATAGCTTCAGTTTCCCGGGAAGCTGGCTGCTGTCGAGTGTGAATTGGTAACACCATACCTTCGGTTTCCCCGGAAGCTGGCTGCTGTCGATTTTTGCGAGCCCCTCTCTCAGCTGCTTCTGCACCAACTTCCCCATCTGTCTGTCGGAGAGCTCTGACGTATACTCCCTTCCAAGACTTCGGACGGGTTGCTCTTTCAACAATGGTATCTTCTCCCCTCCTGCTGTGAACACCATCCTGTCGTCCCTCACCCCTTTCCTGATTGAAAGGCTCCTAGACTTTGCGGGCTTAATCTTCATCCTAGTCCATTGTATCAGCTCGTCAAGGCGCTTGAGGAACCGGGCTGTACATGGAGCTGTCTGTAAGATGGTTGTCACATCATCCATGTACCCTCTCAGCGCCGGGAGTCTTCCTCCTGAAGGTAATCTCAACCCTCTGGCCATCTGTCTTGCTCCGATGAGGATGACTTCAAATGCTGCCACAAACAGGATAGGGGATATTGAGCAGCCCATGGCAATACCGACCTCCAACTGCTGCCATCCAGTCATACGGCCATCGAGAGAGAAACACATGCACAGGTTGTTAAAATACTTGGCTATGATAGTAATTACACACGTTGGAATGTGGAAGAATTCCAATGCAAACTCAACCAGCTTATGTGGTACTGAACCATAAGCGTTCGCCAAGTCAAGCCACACCACATGAAGTTTGCTCTTCTCTCTTTTGGCACGTTGTATCTGCTCCCAGATCACGGATGTGTGTTCAATACATCCTGGAAAACCTGAGAGCCCAGCCTTTTGACAACTTCAATGTAGTGGTTTGTGTTCAATATAGTACATTGACAGTCGATGTAGTGGTTGCTGCTGAGGAAGCTGGTCATCTTTCTTGCCAAAACTGAGAAGAACAGTTTCCCTTCCACGTTCAGCAAGGCAATGCTCCTGAACTGATTAATGGTCATGGAATTCCGCTCCTTAGGAATGAAGATTCCAACTGCCTCTTGCCACTCAGCTGGAATGGATTGGTTCTTCCACACAACCTGCATGAGCTTCCACAAGATCTTCGTCACTTGTGGGCAGTTCTTGTACACCTTGTATGGGAGCCCATTTGGACCTGGTGCTGAGGCTGATCTGGCCTTTTTGAGGACCTCTCTAATCTCACACAGCCTGGGTGGGGAGGTGTCGAAAGGGGTCCTTGGGGGATCTGGGCGTGGCACATAACCTGGTGAGCCAAGTGGTGTATCTTTAGCTGCATCCGTATACTGGCCCTTGATATAATGTTCCAGATTCTCTTTAGTGATGGCCAGCTTGCCGCTCCGCTTCTCATCCAGCAGCTGACGGGCAACCTTGAAAGGGTCTTTGAAGAAATTATTCCTTTCCTTCTCCTTCCGTTTCCTCCGCCTCCTGATCCGTTCTGCCTGGCGTAGCTTGGCCAGCCTCTGCTTAAGGTCATCCCATAACAGCTTGAGGCCTTCTTTTTCCTCTGGGGCTGCTTTCCTCCACCTCTTCCTCAGGTGACGCCTGTCTGATATGAGCAACTCGGTGTGTCTCTCCCTCCGTCCTTTCTGTCTTGGGGCTATGGTTTGTTTGGTCGTACACCCTCCAAACCTCTCTCTGCACTCCCCGTATATGCTGTTTCCCATCAAGGTTAGCTTGCGCTCAACCGTTCCTTGCAAAGAATGCTGCAGCACGCCACTGAGGTATTCGTCGAGCCTGTACCAATCCTCTTGCATAGTCGCCTTTGGTCACTTGATCTTGATACGCCTTTCTGGATGCTTGCGTTGGATTCCTGGTTGTGTGACTTGTGAGGGGACAGTGTGCATCTCGCTCTCGAGGGTTGCCTCCATCTCTTCTCCTTCATATGCTGAGGTTGCCCTCTCAGCACTGTCGGGTCCTGCTGCACTATGGTTTGCTACCAGGCTTTGGGTCCCTTCCGTCTGACCTGCCGAAACAGTGCGATTGTGCTGGTTGGGCGTCCTCCCACACTTCATCCTCCCTTGATGGATCCGCAGGCCTCTGAGTGAAGTCACCTTCTGCCACCCACATGTGCACTTCCAGAGGAACTTCTCATTGCCATTATCCGTTCCGTTCGTTACCGTATGATCCGTCAAAATAGGCCCTACATGTGACCGATGTAAACAAGCTCCTGCCACTCTATATCATATGTTTTGGTCATGTCCGAAATTGCTAGAATATTGGGGTTCAATTTTTGAGACTTTTTATAAATTGTTCGGTAAAATCATTGTTCCGGCCAGGCTGACTGCAATATTTGGAGTTGTTACTCGAGACTATAATCTAAGCAGATCCCAGTGTGATGTTATTGCTTTTTGTTCACTTCTAGCCAGGAGGTTAATTTTGTATAAATGGAAAGACTCTTCGCCTCCAACATACAGACACTGGATTAAAGATGTTATGTATAACATACAATTGGAAAAGCTCCGATGCTTTATGAAAGGGTCAAATAAGAGATTCTTTACTACTTGGCAACCTTTTGTAACCTTTGTGGAGAACGCTGCTTCTAAAGAATTGTACTGAATGTACATTGTCTAAAATTGTATTTTATTTCTATTTATGTATGTGTGTGTATACACGTGTATATATATATATATATATATATATATATATATATATATGCACATTTTTTTTTAAGGTC